TAAATCCTTGTATTTGTACTGTACATATTTGTACTGTATATATTTATACTTGTACTCCTTCCAAACTAAGCCTTGATTTTTTAAATTCTCTATACGCAAATCCTTGTATTTTGTATTGTTTTATATRTATTTGTACTGTACATATTTGTACTTGTACTCCTTCCAAACTAAGCCTTGATTTCTTAAATTCTCTATACGCAAACACAAGCAAAAAAGCTTCAATTATTGACCTTCCCTAGCCTAAAATTGAATTAGTTTTCTTCAATTGTTGTTTCACTTTCACATCCGTTGCAGCCCTAGAGGAGTGGCCAGCTAAATCGAGCTGGCAAGAGCTCATTACTGATGGAACATGTTTAGTAGATGACTTGTGGTGGGGTATTTCCTCTTTCTTTATACATGTGGGGGAGCTAAAGGAAAGCCAAATTTATCTTGACTAAAACTCCTAATTCTAGTCATGTGAACAAACACCTCTGGAGTTAGTTTGTACTAATCGTCTTTTCTTGGACTGTTGAGTCCCTTTTTGTATTCTTCTCTAGTTTGAATTAATTTGGGATGATAATGACCAAAAAAAAGACAACTGTATATAAATAGATATAATTGGTTTGCTATTGTTACCATTTTGTTTTATGCAGTAATAAAAATTTGGAACAACCTAGCTAAAATCTCAATGGTTTAAGAGGACTGAGGACTGAAGAGCTTGAAGATTTGGAGGCTAATGAGAGTTTGGGTTTGGGGGGGGGGTCTCTTGTATGTAGGATTTAGGAAGTTGTACAAGGGTCTTTGGATTTGGTTGTAGAGTCTTGAGAAGGAACATCGAGATGTCATCCTGCTTGTTAAGAAATTTGTGTTTTTGATCTCTTTCTGCCAAGGGAAAGAACTTCTGAGGTTTGTATGCTCATGGTTTTAGAACCAACCCTATGGGCTTTCTTTTTCTTTGAGTAGGGTTTCAAAGATACTTTGGGCAAACAAACTTTCTTACAAGAAGGGTCTAATATGCTCCACTTCTAAGGCTTGGTGTTAAATGGTCCCAACTTGACAACACACAAGATGGATATGATTCTTACTAGGGTGGTTGTATGAGAGCTGGGATCCAAGGTGGACATGGTTAAAACTACTTCTGTGTTTATTGTGATGGATTTGAACTTTATTATATTCTCTGTGATATCTCTTTTATCCACCCATACTCATAATCCATGGTGCAGAGCTCTGGTGGCAATGGTTTTACATGTGCAAGGATTTTTACAACAAAACCCCTGTTTCTTTTCCACAAGCATGGAATAAGCTACACTTCTAAAATGGCTAGAATTATTCCTCTCATTTCAACTTATTTAAATCCCAAAAAATAAATATCCTAAAATGGCTACTGTGCTTCTTTATAAATGGCTCCATCTTTCTAATGGCTCCCTGGAATTTCTGCAGTCTTTAATACTAAAAATTATCTTAGTTTAACAAAAAAATTTCCTGATGAACAGGAAGATATTTTCTCTTCTTAACCAGATCAGCAGTAGTTAAACATATCAAGTCATCTAGTTCCTACTACAACAAAAGAATCATGCATGTGGGGGACACCCTACGATGAAGTTCAATCATCAATCTGTGATCTGTATGAAAGGGACTTTGGGCAAGACTGGTGTTCCATCTGCAGTGGAAAGTATACAAATATGGTTAAAATTTGAGATGCCTCTAAACCCATTATGGGAAAGGGAGTGGCCTGAGTTTGGGGACACATAGGGACCCCAGAACTCACTAGGTCCCACCTTGATTGATAAGTATTTAAACCAAAAAATCAATTTGATTCTTTTAAGCTTTATTGCAAAATCTTTTTGTACCACTTCACAGTTTCACTGTAAATAGCAAAACCAAGTAGCTGTTTATCATGTCTCAGGCAGCTGTTTTGTGCTCCGTTACTCTTTATCTTTTGGAACCATTTGGTGGGGTGTGTTGGTTCTCTGATTAAAGAATAAAGTGGCAAGGCCCAAGCTGATTTATGGGTGGTGGGGCTTTGCATGAGCCCAACACAGACTGGCTTGGGTGGAATTGTGGCCAACCTAGGCTGCATTAGGCATGTTTAAGAGAATTAATTCTGATGAATTTTGTGATATTAAGAAAAAGAGTCGTTTTTAATTTTGGGTGTATGAAAATTTTAAAAATTATTTTATTTTTTTGAGCTGAAAACTCATTTTAAGAATTTATTCTTTGGAACTAAAAAATTGGCTTACAAAAATAATTCAATCAGTACAAGACCCATTCAAACATTGTTCAAACAGTCTTTCATTGGGAATATCTCTGTACTTGTGTGCTTTATTTCATGAATAGATATTCCCAATGCAAGACTATAAATRCTATTCGAACGGATCTTGCACAGACTAAATCCAGTTTCGATGATCCAATAGCTGAAATGGTCACTTTACGTAGTAAATGGCAATGGGTCTCATGCTGCTMCACCCCCACCCCTTAAAGAAAATTCCTTGGTGCAGAATTTTAACCAAACAAATTCCTAAATTCCTAACTTCTTAATCTCCAACCCTAATTTTAATCAACTCTATCCAAATGATGTCCTTGAGATGGACGCAATCAATCGGATAGGTTTGAAGCTTTGAAATGCCCAATCCGCCTTTATTTATTTTATTTTTTCTCAGCCCAAGTTAAAACAATGTCCCATTGTCAGATGAGCCCACATAACACCAAACCCTGAAAAAATAAAGTGGGCTCGAGTCTTCAACACAATCCACCGACCAAACCCAACCCAAACCAACAATTTTAAAAATGAACCGGTGACTGAATCGGTCAGGGGTCCAGTTATCGGTTCGAACGGTCTGACCATTTAACTCCAACGATCAGTCCGTTCTGACAAAAAACTAAAACAATTTAAAAAAAATTAAAAAATTAGAAAGCGGTYAAAACCGTTTGAACGTTTAACCAGCCAATTCAGTGGTTTACTGACCAAAATCAACAATTTTAGGGAAAAAAGCAGTTTTAGAGGAAAACAGAATCGGTCACCGGTTTTTCCAGTCTGACCGTCTGATCCGGTCTGGTTTTGAAAACAGTGACCCAAACCATTGGGTTAGAGTTTGGGATTGGCCCAACCCATATTTCAACCCTAGGTTCAAGAGCCAATCCTTTGCCTATAGGCCCTATACTACATTTCTGACACCTTGTTTGCCGCCATGTGTGATTGCGTGGGGCCCAGCTGATGCAGGCAATAAATCCTGATTCTAAGGTTCTTGACCTTCCAATCAGCTCAGGTGTGGACCATATGGTTATATGGTCCCAAAGAAAGTACACCCAACATTCTAGACCACAAGCATTGAACCACCTCAAGATCGTGTTGGTCCAAATGATGGCCCACCATCCACCAATAGCTCGGGGTCCAGCTTGGCAGCATATCGACATCTGTCAATGGAGTTTGATTTTGATTGTGGCCATATACAGGTGTGGATTCCCCACGTGGTCGGTCACTCACGATCTCGGGACGGTACACAGAATCGGGACGCGGACAGGCTTGCAACAGACACTAGTACGGCAAGGCGGCAAAGCCATGGAGGATTCTTTGTTACGTGTCCCAGTTTCATACACGTGCCCCACTTTACACCTATCCCGTCCACTCTTTAATAGCCACGTGGCTACAAATAGCGCGTTCAGTTAAAACTTTTCCAAGTACATCTTTTGTTCTCCATGCAAAACGTAACACATTAACACAGTGTTCGGACCAAATCCAGCCGTGAAAGGTCTGAACCCACATCAAAGGCGGTACCGTCCGATGGTAATCCAGATGGAGTGGGCTCCACTTAATCTTATACCTTACTATACTGCTATCAAGTCCCAGTGGGAAGTGGGAACAGGGCCGTAATAAAACCGGTTACGGTGTAATATTGTTGAATTTGAATAAAAAACTAATTAGCATAAAATACCAAAACCACCCCTAAGGTTATTAAAAATGACTAAATATAAACTTGCCTACTAATGATAGAATTTTGTAGCGTAACAAGGATTTGGAAAATGGTTATATGAGTTCAACACACGCTAATAAGAAATTACATCATCCTGGCCGTTCGCTGAGCAACCAAACTCATTCCCAACCATCGGATTGGCTTTCTTAAACAAAAGAAATCATAAAAGGGCCCACCTTGGCTTAAACCATGGATTTCCCTTGAAGACCCATAAACTGTTAATTATCTAATGCTACTCTGAATAATTGAGCTTAGGCTTAATCCAATGATTAGATTGCTATTAGCCAGAACGGCATTTTGGTTATTTTGTCCTAAGAACTTTCCACGAAATTATACGTCCCTCAAATTTATGACCGTCACCCCGTCATCCTATAATACCAAACTCCCTTCTGCTATTCCATTACGTTTCCATTCAAAGCTTTTTCCTTCTGTACGTGGATATGTTCGACGCTCTCGCTCTTTCCCCCATGGCTTTACAGGACAGTTAGAAGACTTAGAAACCGATGAGACAGAGTCACAATTGACGTTAGGTTTCGACGGTTTTCCGGCTGGTTTTGATTGTTCTCTGGAGAATTTTGAAGGTTTTTCTGAGAGTCGGTTATGTGTTCCGGGGGACCCATTAGACGAACTGGAGTGGTTTCCTAGTTTTACCGACGATTCCATCTCGTTAAACGGTTTTTTACCCGTTCCGGAGCCTAAGAATATTTTTCCGACGACCCCTGAACAGAAAATAGAAGAAAATAATAGGTTTTCGTCGAGAGACGATGTTGGGCTGTTGAGAAATACTATACCCAGTAAGAAGGCCAGGAGTAAGAGAGTATGTAGACGTGTTTGGGCACAGAATGTCCTGCCGTTCTCAGTGCCTGAAAGTCGGGTTCCGGCGAAGTGTAAGCATGAGAAGTATTACGCAACAAGGAGAAATTGCACTCACTGTAGAACAGAAAAAACGCCCCAATGGAGAATGGGACCTAAGGGGCCGAAAACACTGTGCAATGCATGTGGGGTTCGTTATAAGTCGGGGAGATTGTTGCCGGAATATCGGCCAGCAGCTAGTCCGAGTTTTAACAATATGATGTACTCCAATAGTCATAAGAAGATAATGAAAATGAGAAGAATGAGAAAAAGATAGGAGACAAGACATTCTTGTTTGTATTTGATTTGTAAGAGTTTTATCATTTTTAGTTTTAGTCTTTAGAAGGTAGAATTTTTCTTCTTTTATTTCTATGGAAATTCTTATATTTGTTTGATACAGAATACATATTTTCTTTTATTAACAGGTAAGGATATGTAATTTATGACCTTGTTCATTTATTTGGTTATTTTTATTTATTTTTTAGTGATAGTGGCCAAATATTCTTTATTTACTTGTTTCTGCAAGTTGGGCAAACATTTGGGGTCTTTTCTGATTAAACATATTTGTAGTTTGATTGATTGTTATTTCTTTGCGTAACTGAAAGTAGGGTTTAGTATGAAAGCTGTAAGCTTGTAATTGGTTCAGTAAGCCAAAAATCATATTTAGTGCAACAAATGAGAATATGGAATGAGATTTTTTTTTTTTTTGATAAAGAAAGTGAGATGTTGATTTCTCATACTTTCTGGGTTCCTAAAATCTCCATGACCACCCCCACAAACCATGGATTGRTTCTTGATTTCACATCATCTTAAATATTTAATCTACAACTTGTACTGTTCTATAGATGCCATGCCAAGTTCAAGATAGTAGCTGAACCTTCTAATCTTGTCAAATTGTTACAAATGAGTTGAATATATTCTAGGACTTTTCGGGACATTTTAAGCTGTTGTAGAGTGATGTCTATTTCCTTGAGCATGACATGATTGTCCAGTTAAGCACACTGATGGGACGCTTATATGAACTGCTTATCAGTTATGAGCTATCTTCAAAACTCAGTGTAGCTTTCACCCGAAAGGCCTCTAAGACATCTAAGCCACCCTTCAAGCCGTTCAGTACTATAAATGAGTAAATACAGTCTTGGTGTTTGGATTTACCAACCACCCAATGAGTTCAGAATTTCTGAATTGAACATAGTGGATCCAACTATCAACATGGCAACTATTATTAAGAAAAACAAGGTCTATCTGTGCCTAAGTTTTCCCTAGTTTGTTTTGCCCGTAACTCCTAAGCAATCCAAGCTCCAATTTCCAAGGGTAGAATCTCTAAGAAAATAAAAAGAATGAAGAAGATTAAGAAAAGCAAGGTCTCTCTGGGCCCAAGTTTTGCCTAGTTTGTTCCGTGGTTCTGCCTATAACTTCTAAGCAGTCCAAGTTCCAATTTCCACGGGTAGAATCGCTAGAAAAATAAAAAGAATGAAGAAGGATTCTGCACCTCTTTTGTATTAGGCAGTATTACCAAACTGGAATTGTGCTCAAAGCTCAATTGGTTTAAGTTCTGCACCTCTTCTGTGATATAGTAGTTTACAGCTTAGCAACAGGCAGATGGGTTCTTGATTAAAAGTTAAAAATTCAATTTGAATTGGAAAAACAAAGAAGTCTTAATTGGCCTTTCAAATTGCATGGTATAAGGTTAGAAGAATTCAGAGTTTTTAAACTTTCCCTGGGCCAGAAAAAGCCTTTCTGATTACCTGGCAGAACTTTTTGGCTTGGTAATGTGATCCAAATTAGTACTTGGGAATCGGCCTTTTCGTTAGTAGATTCACATAGTGCTTGACTCAGAGTTACATGACTCATCTAGTCATAAAAGTGAAGGAATTAAAGCCAAGAAACTGGCTTCACCATATCTCCTTTGCATGTGGGTTGTTCCRTACTTCCATTGACTTCACCCGACAAGTTCAGATGCAGTGTAATTGGGGGACTCGCATTGATTGAATCCGAGTTAAAAATAGCATTCCAGGCAATGCAAACTCTTAAGGTTTTTATAGTACAGAACATATTTGATAAGAAACATCAACTGATAAACATCACACAAGCAGGTAACAACCATTCAGTAATCAGAGAAAACCTGATGATAGAGGTATAAATTTTCATCCATGTAATTCAAAGGATATGTCTGGAACTCAACCTCAGTCTCAATGGAGCGCTCTAAGGAGCTTCCAGTGATTACTGTTTACTGATATAGTAATATGGCATCCCTGCTAATAATGAATGTTCAGGATATCTGAGAGTACTTGGAAAGGTATCATGTACAGAGCATTAGATTATTCCAGCCACTCGTAAGCTTCCGTCCTGATAAACCTTGTGTTGTCAAGATCCAAGTACACGCCCCCTGCTATGTACAGCTCGACTTAAAACTCTGGGATTCTCTAATCTAGACTCTATACGTATGTTAACTTTGTGTGGCTGATTGACTCTATAGGTGCTGCAATTTCCACAAATACAACACTGAAGTTACACAAATCTGAGGTCCAAATTGCAGGCTGCTTTTCCGCTTTATCATTATTTCATGATTCCTCAATCTTGTCTCTAACCACATAACGATTTTCATTTGTACTCAAGCCAGACATATGAAGTTGCTTCCGCCTTTTAATAAGATGTAATGCAGTTTGTCTGTCATCTCGTGCCTCAGAATCAGGCTGCAAGATCCGTGATCAAATAAAACTTTAGTTGTTAAATAGGAAGGGTCAAGTTCTAGTACCCACATACAGATGTTTTGAAGCTGTACCTTGATTGCTAAAGCCTTGTCAAAACTCTCAATGGCTTTGTCAGGTTCCCCAAAGTTTAACTGTGTCCTTCCTAGTGTTATCCATGCCTAGAAAATGGATCAGAAGTTTGGTAGATAAAATTAAAAAAACAAAATACCATAGATCTTCAAAGCTCACTGACGGGGCAAAATTTGTCAATGGAAATAGTTCAATTGAATAATGAAATTATGCAATAAACTGTGCATACTCCAGAACCCATGTAAATCTGATATTAACCGATACCCACCAGTATGTCTAGACGCAATATATGAACAGATTCCAATTATGCAAGTAGATGCAAAGAAGAAACAGAAATAGATGATGAAAAAGTAACAACATATGGGCTAAAGGAAAATAAAGGAAAAGAATAGGATAATCAAGAATAGCTTCTTCCATTCAAAAACTCAATTCCCAATTACAGATTTAATAGGGAACCTACCTTTTTCTTAAAGGCTAAAAGAATTACTGTTAACATACTCTCTAAATCCAAATACATGTTTCTTGACTGGACAAACATAGAAACTCAGATAATTTTTCATACCAAAATGATGTAGTCCCCTGGCAAAAAATTGAGAACTACAATCCCAGGTATTTCCTATCCCATCTCATAACATCTCATGGGAAAGAAAAAACATTCAAGAATATTGGAAAAAATGGAGGTCGTGGAGAAAACAAAATGGAGGTCATCTCTGAGGGTAGAGGCTAAAGATTTCCTCTTTGAAGAAATATGGATCAAAGGAAGACTCAGTCTGAAAATAAGAGAACAGAAGATGGCCACGGTTCTTGTGGAAGGCTCAGAGATGATTGACTGGTTGAAAGAGTTTGTTTCTGATGCAGCAGATAAAGGGAAGCAGATAAAATGGAAAGAAAATTTCTCAGAGACAGGTAGGAGGTATGTGATGGAAAACAAGAGGAAGGAAGGAAGCAAATGGTTTGTTTCCCTCAAGGGAAAAATAGTCAAGGATGGATAGGGATTGCTGGTATACTAACAAATTTCCTAAATAGAAGGGAGCTGGAGAAAAAAGAGTTGATCGAAATTGATGAAAGTGAACAAAGCCTGGTAGTTAGCAGCCAGATCCTGGGTAAGGCAGAGGAACCAAAAAAGAAATTCTTGGCCTTGACAAACAACAGTAGGAACCCTTCCTTGGTAGCAGATGGGACAACAGGAAAATGGGAAATAATGCTAGTGATTGATGCTGGAAAGTTGGTGACAGATTGGTCGAAAGTTGCAGAATTATTAAAGTTCAGACTGGGGCTAAGGAGCACCTTTATTTTAACTCCGTTTGATCTTGCTAAGGCAGTGTTGGACCCTCTTGAAAACCAGGTAAATGTTAAAGCTTTATGTATTCAAGATGCTCTGGGGACCTTCTCACTCTTTAAATGGTCTTCATCTTCTAATTCAAAAATCTTCTGTGGAAGATAATGTTACTGTTCAAGTGATTGGTTTGCCATTCCATCTCTGGAATCAAGAGATAGCAAACTCAATTGCTTTGCTGTGTGGTGCTCACCTTGATGGTGTATTTTGGGGAGACCTACGAAGTGCAGCCCTTCTACTGGGTGGAGTAAAACCAGAAGATATACCGAGGAAGGTGACCGTTGCTGTGGATGGATTGTTTTTACCAGTCTGGTTAGTGTCTTCCACTGAAGCTACTCTTTGGAGGGAGGCCAGGCAGGAGGAAGATGAAAAGGTTGAGGAAGTGGAGCTACGTGGCAGATTGGAGTTACTTAAACAGAAGAAACTGGGCAATTTCACCAAAATGGAAACACAACCTTTAAACAGTCCAAAAGATTTGGGTCAGGAGATTAGTAGTAAACGTAAGATACAAGGTAAGGGTATGACAACCAACAGGACATTTGCTCAGGTAGTAGCTTCTGGCGCCAAGCAAAATAATTTGAATGGCTTAAGTGAGGGGAAGGGCCCGTTGGTAGTACGAACTGAACCACAGATTGGAGGAGGTAAACCATTGGGTCAGGTTGGGGTCTTGTTAGAATCAGAAAACCTTATAGTGGGTGACTCCCTTAGAGCTGAGATATGTGCAGTTATGGAAGGAGCCCGGAAAGCTAAGGAATTGAACATCAAGAAACTTATAATTGAAGGGGATTCAGAGGTGGTGATAGGGTGGCTGACCAAAGAACAAAATGATCTTTGGAAGTATAACAATG